AAGAGATGTAATACACAAGTAAAGGCAGTTTTGAAGAAAACACAATAACTATACTCACCTAGATAGGGGGGTTAGGAGGCTAAGCGTCGTTACCTACTGAGACTGCGGGCTGCTTGCTGCAGTACGCCGCTTCAGTTGCGAAACAAGACACTACACTTTATTAACGTTGCAGGCACATTCTGTTAAGCTCAAACTAGCAAGGAAGCAAATATTAATGACAACAACTTGGGAGATGCTCTTCGCAGTTCAAACCAAAGAACCGTTAAACCGACGCCTTCCTACTTTTCGTCGTTCAGTGTGTGGCTGGGGAGCAGGAGTGCCAACTCTTTCGGACAAAATCAAGTGCCACTACTGTCACCTCCATTCTATTTAATTTCGCCTTTCTGACACCAAAAATTAGCGTCTCAAATTTTGTTACAAATCGTTTTAGTTGGAAGCGGCGAAAAATTATTGTGTCCGTAAATATCTCTAATTCCTTATGAGTCGAACTTTTTCTGGGGTGGCAGTATTAACCTGGACCGCGGCTCTTCAAACCTGGTGTCATGACAATCAGATTTCACGTTCACGTGTAACTCAAAATGACAAAATAATTTGATTTTTTGAAAGAAAATAAAGAATGTGACAGAGCGTGTCATTTCATAACATTACATAACAACATTTTAGAAGAAATCAGGTTATATCAAAAATAGGGTTTGAAGTTAGTCAATAAACATGATGTAATTTCATCGTTGGTTTTAGTCACTCTTCTTAATGCCCACAAATATTCCTTCAGACACTGTCTACTTTATAAGCATAAGGAGTATGACTACTCAAAGAGTGGAGAAAGTTTTTTTTTTTTTGATAGTACCTTTTTGATTCATTTTTGGTTTTTAAATGTGTTTTCCTTACTGATGAAGTCTTTTCCCTTATTAAGAAAGAGTATTACTCAACAAACATAGAAGAGTTATTTTAATTTATTTATGAGTGAAAATGTTAGTTTCAGTATTCCTCAAACTTCATGTAATACACTAAAAGTTATGAACACTAAAGTATGTCCAAAACTAACATTTTTGAACCTAAATAAAATAAAAGCACTGTAATGTGGTTGTTAAGTCATACTCTTTCTATTGATACCAAATTCATTTACTAGAGAGACCCATTTATATGCAACGTTGCATCAGATGCAATTCTAAAATGAACTTTCCGAGAAAGTTTATATACTATGCGTTTGACTCTTTGTTGCACATAAATATGTATTTGCAGTGAATGATTTTGGCATCAGAAGTAAGAGTATGATTCAACAAACATATAACTGCAATTTTAATTTGTTTTGGTATAAAAATGCTAGTTTAGGAGGACTTTTAGTATTTCTCAAACTTCATGTACTATGCTGGAAGTTATGAACACTAAAGTACTTCCAAAACCAACATTTTTGAACTTAAATAAAATAAAATTACTGCATAGTAATTGTTTAGTCATACTCTTTCTTTTGATACCAAATTCATTTACTACAGAGACCCATTTATATGCAACGTTGCATCAGGTACAATTAAAAAATGACCTTTGCGAAGAAGTTTATAAAATGATACTGCATTTGATTCAACGTTGCACATAAATATGTCTGTAGTGATTGATTTTGGTGTTAAAAAGAAAGATTATGACTAAGGTTTCCTAAACATATGGTACTATGCCTAACTTTGATAAAACAAACCAAATCTGAGAGAATTTTATGAAATGCATTGCTCCTAACAATATTCTGAAATGTATTTTCTCAGTTTAATGACACATGTGAAAGCAGCTTAAGTAATGCTAGTTGAAAATAAAACTAAAATAACTACACTATCACTTCTGCTACTGGTTTGGTTTAATATTTTCTCCTAAATCCATATTGTCAATGAATATTTTGTTACATGTAGTCATTTGGGTAAAAATGTGTCTTTTTTAACCCTACCATTTTAAAAGGGATGCATATTGTAAAATGCTATTAGTAGCAGGTATGTGCCAAGTTTGGTGTCAATGAGTTACCACAGGCTTCTGCTATACAAACTACCGCTACTCATAAGTAAGGTATAGTTATTTAGTCTATCATATTTCTGTCATGGTATGGTTTTCTTAAAATATTGGGTATTGATTGATTTAATTTTCAGGTTATTTATGTTTCTTTTAGGACAATCAGATTTGGGCTAAGACAAAAAGATTCATTTGCATACTTACTAATATGAAGATTATACGCAACCCCAAAGTTAGTGCAACGTAATCACTTGAATTAGACTGATTGGAAAATGTAATTTCCAACCAATCCCATAGTTACAATTGCTTGAATCTAAACATTTAAAACATCATAGTCCAAAAAAGGGATAAAACAATAGTTCAAAGTGGTCCTTAAGGTAGTATGTAGAACATATTACCAGAAATAAATGGTTAGTTGGCATTACGTTTGGATCCCTAAGTTTGCGTTGTAACCAAAATCTTTTTTCGTTACTTTGAAATTGTCGACACTTCTCAGAAGGCTGTTTGTCAGTTAAGAAATAATTTGAATTGCTAAGAAAGTTGTTAATAAATTAAGTTTAAAATTTTTATGTAAAATTGCAAATAAACTTAGGAGTTATCCATTACAACTACTAACCTATTCTAACATCTTTATTATAAAAAATCAATTTCAAACTTTTTAAAATAAAACCATACATTGCGCCCGAAACGTACCCAAACCTAGAGATAACGAGTCAAAGTAACCAACCGACCAACTATTAGACGTGTTTTCCCTCATATTTGGGCGCGTTCACATCTAATCGGTCACCCCATCGAAATGTGGAAGAGTTTGTTATGATATTTAGATGGACAATTTCACTTGGTCGTCTTTACTCCGCAGTGGTAGTGACCGCGACCACGGTGGTCGCGACCGCCCACATTCCAGAATTTACACGACCTGCACTTTTAAGCGTGAAGAGACCTCAAGGATCTCTGCTCAATGAGTGCGACAAGGACGGAGCTATACAGGGTGGGTGATCCGCGCCGTGTTTTTTTTTCTGCTTATACTGTACCGGATTCATGCGTGCGAACGAGTTGCATACTCGCACGGGGCCATAAGGCGCCTTGGCGAGCGACGATAGGCAAGCCCGCCCGCACGCGTGAATCCGGTACAGTATAAGCAAAGCAAATACAAACCACGGCGCGGATCACCCACCCTGTACGTAAGGTATAGGAGAGGGTTCTTCGGAATCAGTCGGCTGGTCTACTGACGGACGATGGACACCTGGCCTAATGATCTCAGAGACGGACTCGCACGGCCTCTGCGGGGGTCAGCGCGCTTTGCCGCGCTTTCTCGACCCGGGCGGGGCGGGGCTCGGCGCGGAGCACCCAGGACAAGGACGCCCCCGGGGCTCGGCTGCATGGGGCCGCTCCGCCCGCTGGAGGAGCTCCAGGGGGGGCTGAGGGGGGCCAGCGCCGGGCTAGAGAAGGGGGCGCTGTTTACACTGAGGAAGGGGGTGGGCCGTCCCCGCCTGCCTGGCCCGCATTGAGCGACGCCCCCCAGCCCCGTGACGTCATAGCGAGCTGCCCCCCCCCACCCCCACGGCCGCGTCCCACCGTCCGTGTGGTGTGGTGCGGACCTCAGTCCTAGTTGAACCGCGCCGGAGGCCAGAGGGTGCGGCCCGCCCCGCTCGCGCCCCGTCCAGGTCCCGTCCCGCCCTGGACGCTGTGACGCCGCCGCGCCCCGCCGCGCCCCGCCGCGCCCCGCCCCGCCACGTCGCCACGCGGCAGGCACGCCCCGCCCCGCCACGGCAGAGTGCGGCTGATTAGCGACGCTGGGCAGCACGGCGACATGTGGCCCTGACCACGGTGCCGCGGCCGCGCCCCCCAGCTGCACCAGGCAGGCCCTGGGCGTCTTGTCGGTGAGTGTGGGTCTCGAGGGCGGCGCGCGCTCCGGCGGCGCCAAGGGTCCAGCGGCAGCCAGCCGGAGTGGGGGCCAGGCGGGCCAGGCCCGGGCCGAGCCAACAGCCACCGCCACTCCAGTCCCATTGCCCACGCGCCCGAAGGACAGTGTTGGCTTTGCGAAAGGTGCTACACCCCTCCCCCCGCCCACGCGCCCCTCTTTGCTCTTTGGCCTCTCTCCCTCCTTTCCTCACTCTTACTCTCCCTATCCATCTCCCGAGGCACCTGAAACCGAGTCGACATGGATTTCCCCCTCTGCCTCATCGAAACCACATTCGCCAAAATGCCACAGGATTGTCACATTTTTTTACAATCCGCACTGGGCCGTCAGCAATCGCTGTTTGAGTGCGCGATGGAGCGCGGCCTGCCTCCAGTGCGTCCGCCGCCCGCCCCCGCGCGGGCAGGCAGCCGGGCAGGTAGGCAGGCCCGCACGCCACCCGTGCCACACGGGACTGCCTACCTGCCCGGCTGCCCTCTCCGTGTGTATCAGAGCCATAGCTCAGGCAGGGACCCGTAACGAAAAGATTCGTTATTTCAGTTTTTCGACAATATCTCGTAAACTGTTTGAGATATAGCAATACGCAAATGCAAATTGGGAAGCTCAGATAGTGCTCGAATTTCGTTACGAAATGACCCAACACAGGCTGATGGCTCCCCGAAAATGAATTTTGTTACAAAATTACTTTTGTAACGAAATCCATTTAAGGGCAAAAGGAGCCCTCCGATTTTGTTGGGTAATTTCGTAACGAAATTCAAATACAATTTGAACTGTTCTACGAGCACCTGCGTTGGATCATATCTCTATCCGTCAACGATTGTCAAAAAACTAAAATAACGAATCTTTCCGTTACGGGTCCGTGAGCTCAGGGCCCAGCGCCGCCGGGCCAGCAGTCTCATCATCCCCATCTCATCTCCAAGCACGTTGGAGGCAGAGCTAGAGGGAGGGAGCGGGGAAAAATGGCAAGAATAAGAAAAAAGAAGGTTTTAAAAAAGGGATCCTGTGAACTCGCTCGTATAATTTTTCTCATTTGTGTCGTGACCTACATAACGCTGTATCGTTAGACGCCCGGAAAAACTAACGAGTTCGCGAATCGTCGGTGAACCCTCGGGGCAGGCTACCTCTGCCCGTCTGTTGTCCTTTTCACCGCCTCTTCATCGCCACCCTGCTGGCCAGGCCCTGGCAGCAATTAGCTCCGGGCGTCGTCACCGTTGCGTCCCGGACCCCGCGCCTCCCTTCCCGCCCAGCGACGAGGAAGTGTATTTCCGCTTCCGCACGAGAGGTTCGCACTTGAGAGAGTTCGCCCGCACCCCGCCCGCACCCCGCCCGCACCCCGCCCGCGAGTCAAAGTAACCAACCGACCAACTATTAGAC